TGACAGTGTGCTGGTGATATAGTTTTTACTGACAGTGTGCTTTGGTGATATAGACAATTGACAGTTGTCCCGGTGATATAGACAACTGACAGTGTGCTGGTGATATAGACAACTGACAGTGTGCTGGTAACATAGACAACTGACAGTGTGCTGGTGACATAGACAACTGACAGTGTGCTGGTAACATAGACAACTGACAGTGTGCTGGTAACATAGACAACTGACAGTGTGCTGGTAATATAGACAACTGACAGTGTGCTGGTGATATAGAAAACTGACAGTGTGCTGGTGATATAGACAACTGACAGTGTCCCGGTGATATAGACAACTGACAGTGTCCCGGTGATATAGACAACTGACAGTGTGCTGGTAACATAGACAACTGACAGTGTGCTGGTGATATAGACAACTGACAGTGTCCCGGTGATATAGACAACTGACAGTGTGCTGGTGATATAGACAACTGACAGTGTGCTGGTGACATAGACAACTGACAGTGTGCTGGTGACATAGACAACTGACAGTGTCCCTTTGATATAGTTACAACTCTACAGTGTCCTGGTGATATAGACAACTGACAGTGTGCTGGTGATATAGACAACTGACAGTGTGCTGGTGATATAGACAACTGACAGTGTGCTGGTGATATAGACAACTGACAGTGTGCTGGTGATATAGACAATTGACAGTGTCCCGGTGATATAGACAACTGACAGTGTGCTGGTGATATAGACAACTGACAGTGTGCTGGTAACATAGACAACTGACAGTGTGCTGGTGACATAGACAACTGACAGTGTGCTGGTAACATAGACAACTGACAGTGTGCTGGTGATATAGACAACTGACAGTGTGCTGGTAACATAGACAACTGACAGTGTCCCGGTGATATAGACAACTGACAGTGTCCTGGTAACATAGACAACTGACAGTGTGCTGGTGACATAGACAACTGACAGTGTGCTGGTGACATAGACAACTGACAGTGTGCTGGTAACATAGACAACTGACAGTGTGCTGGTGATATAGACAACTGACAGTTGTGCTATGTGTGATATAGACAATCTGACAGTGTCCCGGTGATATAGGACAACTGACAGTCCTGCTGGTGTTTATAGACAACTGACAGTGTGCTATGGTAACATAGACAACTGACAGTTGTCCTATGGTGACATAGTACAACTGACAGTGTGCTGGTGTCGTTTAGACAACTGACAGTGTGCTGGTCGTTTAGACATCTACTGTTGTGCTGGTAATATAGACAAGTATACACTGTGTGCTATAGTGTGATATAGAAAACTGACAGTGTGCTGGTGATATAGACAACTGACAGTTGTCCCGGTGATATCGTTTACTGACAGTGTCCTATAGTGATATAGTAACTGACAGTGTGCTATGGTAACATAGACAACTGACAGTGTGCTGGTGATATATACAACTGACAGTTGTCCCCCGGTGATATAGACAAACTGACAGTTTGCTGGTGATATATAGACACTGACAGTGTGCTGGTAACATAGACAACTGACAGTGTGCTGGTGACATAGACAACTGACAGTGTGCCCGGTGATATAGACAACTGACAGTGTTGGTGATATAGACAACTGACAGATGTGCTGGTGATATATCTACAACTGATAGTGTGCTGGTGATATAGACAACTGAAAGTGGGGTGGTGATATAGACAGTTGACAGTGCACTGGTGATATAGAACGGTTTTGAAGGTGTCCCGGTGATATAGACAACTGACAGGTGCTGGTGATATTTGACAACTGACAGTGTTATAACATAGACAATTGACAGTGTGCTTGGTGACATAGGACAACTGACAGTGTGCTGGTAACATAGACAACTGACAGTCCCGTGCGCGTGATATAGACAACTGATGTTGTGTTGGTAACATAGACAACTGACAGTGTCCCGCAAGGTATAGACAACTGACAGTGTGACCTGGTGATATAGACAACTGACAGTGTGCTGGTGATATAGACAACTGACAGTGTGCCGGTGATACAGACAACTGACAGTGTGTGTGCTGGTGTCATAGACAACTGACAGTGTGCTGGTGATATAGACAACTGACAGTGTCCCGGTGATATAGACAACTGACAGTGTGCTGGTGATATAGACAACTGACAGTGTGCTGGTGATATAGACAATTGACAGTGTGCTGGTGATATAGACAACTGACAGTGTGCTGGTAATATAGACAACTGACAGTGTGCTGGTGACGTAGACAACTGACAGTGTGCTGGTGACATAGACAACTGACAGTGTGCTGGTGACATAGACAACTGAAAGTGTGCTGGTAACATAGACAACTGACAGTGTGCTGGTGACATAGACAACTGACAGTGTCCTGGTAACATAGACAACTGACAGTGTCCTGGTAACATAGACAACTGACAGCATGCTGGTGACATAGACAACTGACAGTGTGCTGGTAACATAGACAACTGACAGTGTGCTGGTGACATAGACAACTGACTATGTAGCCTCAACTTAATAGCCGGGTGACATGAAACTTCGAACTCCCAGTCCGAAATTGGGGACTTCGAATCAGCAAAACCAAGCGGAAAACAAGACTTTTAAGAACGTCAGCGGCGTTGTTAGATATTTTACTGGCAACAGATTCTAGCTCGTAACGTGGCCCGGGGGGGGGGGGGGTGTGTGGTCCTATAGCTGCTGACTGTTATGGGTGAAAAAATAGGGATGACTGCAGTTAAGCTAATACCAAGGAATGGCTCACATCACCCCTTAGAGTTTTGAATACTCTCCTCTATGTTAGCATTGTGTAGTTCTTTATTTTTTCGAGAAAGGCCACCAGCCGAAACGTTGTTTTGTGTAAGTTTTCCTGTTTCCCCGTTTCGTGAAGCTTTTTAGTCACATTTCACTGGAATTCCTCGACTGTTATGGGACCTGCTGTTATGCCAGTTTGTATACCGGTTTATGCTGAAAATTGTGCTGCTGTGGCATGGACTGTAGCGCTCACATTTGCTGTTTGTCACCTAATGTACTTCAGCTGCTCACAGCCAGACATGCACACAAACACATCTTGGCACACACACACCCAGACTGGATCCTTGCCCCACTTGTAAAAACTTGTACCGCCGGCACACAGCGGATGTGAAGTGAAACGAAACATAGGAAAACATGGTGGACCTGTGTCCTCTGTCCTAAACATCTGTGTGGGAGACGACGAATCTGAGTCAGGATTTCGGTGAAGTCTGGTCGTTGACGTGAGACTTGCTGGCATCTGTAGCAACTCCACCACTAAAACAAGGCAATGCTCTGTGTTTTTTTTTACTTTGTAGGGGTCTGTTGCGTTCTAGTTACATATGTCTTCCGTTTACAAGTGGTTGTGCTGCGAGTCTACAATTGTCTCAGTAGTCTCAGTCTCTGTCATCGCCTTGTCTCCCGTGTATCCACTAATTCTAATCACTATCCACTGTGTCAAGCAACCTCGCCTTCTATGTTATGTTGTATTTATTTTTCAGTATTTGAGATGTGCGGGTGGCTAATGGATTCGGTCATCATCTTGCAGTTTGCACGCAGTTAGCTACGCTGGTCATAGGTACTTTAGTAATCAAATCATAATGATCAGATTCAGTTAAAAACAAAATCATTGTATTATATAATTATATTTCTGGATGCCAGTGTAGTTTTTATGTATTAGGTTTTTACACATTTAACTATCCCAGCTGGCTAGAGATTAAAATATCTGGCACTCTTCCGAATACCGGTCCCAAATTATTAACTGCGAAAAATATTTTATTTTTTTCTCAAACATGTGGCCATGGAACCCACAAGGCGAGTCACAGTTACTGTGAACAATGGTTCAAAAACTATCCCCCCACCCCCCCCCCCCCCCCCCCCCCCATCCCCCCCCCCCCCCTGGTAATCCCCCAGGCATCGACCACCACCCGAACCCAAAAATTCGCCATTGAAAACTACCCCTCCCCACAACGCTTCAACATTGGATCAAAATCTATTCTTCCTTACAATACTTCAATGGATCGAGAACTATTCCTCCCTACTGCGCTTAGCTCAACGTCTAAATATTGCTAGCCTTCGTGCTATAACGGCAGAACGAGGAAACTGATGATGAGCGCCTAAATGATGTTACTACAGTACACAACCTCTTGACGCTCCTAAAGGGATGTTTTTCGCAGTTAATAATTTGGGACCGGTATTCGGAAGAGTGCCCAAGAAGGCATATCAAATATGTTCACAGTCAACACAGGTGTGAGACAGGGATGCGTGCTCTTCACACTTTTTTTAACATTTACATAGACATAATATCTAAAGAAGCAATTTCTAATCCAGACAACATAGTTCGTTACAGTCATCAAGTACACACATCAGACGAAGTAATCGACACACCCACATTAAACAAACTACGATTTGCTGATGACCAGTGTTTGTTCTCCCCTGAAGAAGATAGACTGCAAGATCATATAAACAGGTTAAACTCAACATGTATTAAATACAACGTAAAGATCAATGCAAAACAAATGAAAGAATGCAAGTTAGTAGAACCCCTGTCCCACTACATTTACAGCTGAATGGTTCCGATCTGAACCAAGTTAGAGATTTTAAATATCCAGGAAGTTTGATCACGGAAGATGGTAGAACAGATAAATAGAAACCAGATGTCAGAAAGCAAGTGCACTCATATACCAATTGTCACCATTATTTAGACATCCAAGCATAACTAAGAGTGCAAAGAGAGATTATAAACAGCTTATTCATTCCAACATTGAGCTGCCAAACATGTACACTATCCAAAGCGCATGTATGCAAAATCACCACCTGCGAGATGAGATGCCTGAGAAAAGTTGCCAACCTAACCTTCCAAGATCAAGTAAAGAAATATACTGTCAGACTAATTTTTGTGTGTGCGCATGCATGGGTTTGGGTGGGTGGGTGTATATAAAACCTCTCTGCTTGTGTTCTTGAATGTTTGTTTGTAAACTCATTGAATGCTACTTTTTCCCAGCATGCCGTTTATGAGAGGAGCTGCACCGATTCGACGGACATTGGGTTACTTGGAGAAGAGCAATCTCCTCCTCAAGGAGAATGTTCGGATTGTGATGTTCAACTTCAACACGGAAGGGAAACCCAGTGATGGAACCAGGTCAGCTATTTTTGGTGTCATCAGTACTGACATTTTCTTACTGTCTGCATGGTTTTCATTTCAGTGATGCTCTTTGCCATCTGTGAGTACTATACCAGCTGTGAGTACTATACCAGCTGCAAGTACTATACTAGCTGTGAATACTATACCAGCTGTGAGTACTCTGCCAGCTGTGAGTACTTTACTAGCTGTGAGTACTATACTAGCTGTGAGTACTATACTAGCTGTGAGTACCATCAGTGAGTGCTCAGCCAGCTGTGAGTACTATACCAGCTGGGAGTACTCTGCCCTCCACTCTCAGGAAGATGTGCCCTGAGGTCAGGGTCAGATACACCCCAGATTAGTCAACTTTACGACATGCTTGTTTGGGGGTTGGGGGGGGGGGGTTGCAGGTCTATTGCTTTCTGCCCCACAGTGGAACCTGGAACCCACATGGAAATAGCTGATGTCTGAAAAAGGCAGATGTCGCACCAACCCTGTGCTGCCATTTGTTTGTCAAACATTGGTAGTCATTTATTTTCTTTTTTTTTTTTTTTATAGAAGTCATTATTATCTGCCACTCACCTCATAACATATTGATAACTTTTACATATAACATATTTGGTTACCTGACCTGTTCACAAGAAGGTGATCGTCTCATTTATCTGTATATCACATGGTAGTCTCATTAATCTTTTCGTATATCACATGATTTGTCTAATTAACCTGTTCTTCGCATATCACATGATTCTCCTGTTAACCTATTCACGTATCGTATTTGTTTTTATAACCTGTTCTCATCTTGCGTGACTGTCTGTTTAACATTGTGACCTGGTACAGTTAGTCTCTACAGGCCATGTGTGTCCTGACCTGGTACAGCTAGTCTCTACAGGCCATGTGTGTCCTGACCTGGTACAGCTAGTCTCTACAGGCCATGTGTGTCCTGACCTGGTACAGTTAGTCTCTACAGGCCATGTGTGTCCTGACCTGGTACAGTTAGTCTCTACAGGCCATGTGTGTCCTGACCTGGTACAGTTAGTCTCTACAGGCCATGTGTGTCCTGACCTGGTACAGCTAGTCTCTACAGGCCATGTGTGTCCTGACCTGGTACAGCTAGTCTCTACAGGCCATGTGTGTCCTGACCTGGTACAGTTAGTCTCTACAGGCCATGTGTGTTCCTGACCTGGTACAGTTAGTCTCTACAGGCCATGTGTGTCCTGACCTGGTACAGTTAGTCTCTACAGGCCATGTGTGTCCTGACCTGGTACAGTTAGTCTCTACAGGCCATGTGTGTCCTGGGACCTGTCCTGACCTGGTACAGTTAGTCTCTACAGGCCATATGTGTCCTGACCTGGTACAGTTAGTCTCTACAGGCCATATGTGTCCTGACCTGGTACAGCTAGTCTCTACAGGCCATGTGTGTCCTGACCTGGTACAGTTAGTCTCTACAGGCCATGTGTGTCCTGACCTGGTACAGCTAGTCTCTACAGGCCATGTGTGTCCTGACCTGGTACAGTTAGTCTCTACAGGCCATATGTGTCCTGACCTGGTACAGTTAGTCTCTACAGGCCATGTGTGTCCTGACCTGGTACAGCTAGTCTCTACAGGCCATGTGTGTCCTGACCTGGTACAGCTAGTCTCTACAGGCCATGTGTGTCCTGACCTGGTACAGCTAGTCTCTACAGGCCATGTGTGTCCTGACCTGGTACAGTTAGTCTCTACAGGCCATGTGTGTCCTGACCTGGTACAGCTAGTCTCTACAGGCCATGTGTGTCCTGACCTGGTACAGTTAGTCTCTACAGGCCATGTGTGTCCTGACCTGGTACAGTTAGTCTCTACAGGCCATATGTGTCCTGACCTGGTACAGCTAGTCTCTACAGGCCATGTGTGTCCTGACCTGGTACAGCTAGTCTCTACAGGCCATGTGTGTCCTGACCTGGTACAGTTAGTCTCTACAGGCCATGTGTGTCCTCACCTGGTACAGTTAGTCTCTACAGGCCATGTGTGTCCTTACCTGGTACAGCTAGTCTCTACAGGCCATATGTGTCCTGACCTGGTACAGCTAGTCTCTACAGGCCATGTGTGTCCTGACCTGGTACAGCTAGTCTCTACAGGCCATGTGTGTCCTGACCTGGTACAGCTAGTCTCTACAGGCCATGTGTGTCCTGACCTGGTACAGCTAGTCTCTACAGGCCATGTGTGTCCTGACCTGGTACAGTTAGTCTCTACAGGCCATGTGTGTCCTGACCTGGTACAGTTAGTCTCTACAGGCCATGTGTGTCCTGACCTGGTACAGTTAGTCTCTACAGGCCATGTGTGTCCTGACCTGGTACAGCTAGTCTCTACAGGCCATGTGTGTCCTGACCTGGTACAGTTAGTCTCTACAGGCCATGTGTGTCCTGACCTGGTACAGTTAGTCTCTACAGGCCATGTGTGTCCTGACCTGGTACAGTTAGTCTCTACAGGCCATATGTGTCCTGACCTGGTACAGTTAGTCTCTACAGGCCATGTGTGTCCTCACCTGGTACAGCTAGTCTCTACAGGCCATATGTGTCCTCACCTGGTACAGCTAGTCTCTACAGGCCATGTGTGTCCTGACCTGGTACAGCTAGTCTCTACAGGCCATGTGTGTCCTGACCTGGTACAGCTAGTCTCTACAGGCCATGTGTGTCCTGACCTGGTACAGTTAGTCTCTACAGGCCATACGTGTCCTGACCTGGTACAGTTAGTCTCTACAGGCCATGTGTGTCCTGACCTGGTACAGTTAGTCTCTACAGGCCATATGTGTCCTGACCTGGTGTCATGTCACTTCACCTGTACTCCTTTTACCAGTTGAGATAGCTGTGTGTGTGTGCACAGTCTTTCTTTGCTTCTGTGGGGAAAGCCAATTAAGAAATGTAAGGTCTGGTATTGTTGTGTGGGCTGGGGTTAGAAAAACATTGGTGGTCAAGTATTGTTGTGTGAGCTGGGCTTAGGAAAACATTGGTGGTCAAGTGTTGTTGTGTGGGCTGGTGTAAGGAAACATTGATGGTCAGGTATTGTTGTGTGGGCTGGCATAAGGAAAACATTGGTGGTTAGGTATTGTTGTGTGGTCTGGCGTAAGGAAAACATTGGTGGTCAGGTATTGTTGTGTGGGCTGGTGTAAGGAAAACATTGGTGGTCAGGTGTTGCGTGGGCTGGCATAAGGAAAACATTGGTTAAGTATTTTTTGTTAGACATGAATGGTCAGGTATTATGGTGTGTGCTTTGATTAGGGAAATATGGGTGGTCAGGTATTGTGGTGGGGGCTGGGGTTGGGAAAAAATGGGTGGTCAGGTATTGTGGTGTGTGCTGGGGTTGGGAAAACATAGGTTGTCAGGTATTGTGGTGTGTGCTGGGGTTGGGAAAACATAGGTTGTCAGTCATTGTGGTGTGTGCTGGGGTTGGGAAAACATCGGTGGTCAGGTATTGTGGTGTGGGCTGGGGCTGGGAAAACATGTGTGGTCAGGTATTGTTGTGTGGGCTGGGAAAACATAGGTGGTCACTGATTGTTGTTGTATGGGCTGGGGCTGGGAAAACATGTGTGGTCAGCTATTGTTGTGTGGTACTGAGTGTGAGAATTGTATATTTTTGTTATTGCAGCTGATGGCTCCAAATTAGTGATGGACGTAGACAGTCAGAAGAAAGATACCATCTATGAACAAGTCCGGAAGATTTTCTGTAAATCTGAGTAAGTTGCCAAGTATTTTTACTACATCCTAACTGCCTCACAGTGGGTATAAGTAACTATGGTAAGGTCATCCTGAGCCCGGCACTGCTGTGTTAGGTCTTTGCTGATGTGTGATTACTGCATAATGACATGAGGAGAACAGTGTTTTTACTCACTGCTTTTCTGTTTCCAAATATACTAGTGCCTGCTATACAATATCTGGCCGACAGTATCTGGTTGTATTTGAGAAAAGTATGTAAAAACAAATAAAGGTTGAATTTAACTAATGTCCCCAGTTAAGTAAAGAAACCTTGTCCACGCCTGTTCATATTGGGCATAGAGGGCTAGACCTATACTGTAGAAAACCAATCCGCACATGATGGATAATGTGGTCAAAATCACGCTGCCACCTTTACTTCCCAGGACTGCACCTGGTACCCACTCAAGGCTGGGTTGACCTGGGAGCAAAGTTTTTTTTTTTTTCAACGTCCACACCCTTACAGTCTGCAGGCGAGCATCCAGCCCCTTACACCATGGCGACTCCTGTGCCACTCAGATTTAACTGAATATGTTAACAAGTGTTTTAGCGGCGACTGTCTGAACAAATAAAACGCTAGGCTGTCAAGCTAGAGACCCGAGTTTGAATCATCAGTAAGGTTGGGTTCCCCCTGTCGGGGGCAAAAATAAACAATCCTAACCTGCACAGTGCATGGCAACAGCCTCAAACAGTTCCCCTGCCTTCAGTGCATGACAACAGCCCATTTTATCTGTTAATACTTGTCTGTTAGTTCCAACTCAGAGTCATACTTGTCTGTTAGCTCCAACTCAGAGTCATACTTGTCTGTTAGTTCAATCTGGGAGTCATACTTGTCTGTTAGTTCCAACTCAGAGTCATACTTGTCTGTTAGTTCCAACTCAGAGTCATACTTGTCTGTTAGTTCCAACTCAGAGTCATACTTGTCTGTTAGTTCCAACTCAGAGTCATACTTGTCTGTTAGCTCCAACTCAGAGTCATACTTGTCTGTTAGTTCAATCTGGGAGTCATACTTGTCTGTTAGTTCCAACTCAGAATCATACTTGTCTGTAAGTTCACACTGGGAGTCATACTTGTCTGTAAGTTCAAAGTGGGAGTCATACTTGTCTGTTAGTTCTAACTGGGAGTCATACTTGTCTGTTAGTTCCAAGTGGGAGTCATACTTGTCTGTTAGTTCCAACTCAGAGTCATACTTGTCTGTTAGTTCCAACTTAAGAGTCATACTTGTCTGTTCCAACTCGGAGTCATAATTAAATATCTGTCAGAGCCAATTTCTTCAAAGATTGTATTGCTGGGACAGGGTTGGATTGTCTTGAAATTAATCCAGTGATTGTTGGCTGATATCATCACTGTCTGTATTTGATCATCTGTGTCAGTGATTGTTGGCTGATATCATCACTGTCTGTATTTGATCATCTGTGTCAGTGATTGTTGGCTGATATCATCACTGTATTTGATCATCTGTGTCAGTGATTGTTGGCTGATATCATCACTGTCTGTATTTGATCATCTGTTTCACTGATTGTTGGCTGATATCATCACTGTCTGTATTTGATCATCTGTGTCAGTGTTTGTTGGCTGATATTGTCACTGTCTGTATTTGATCATCTGTTTCAGTGATTGTTGGCTGATGTCGTCACTGTCTGAAATGGATCATCCGTTTCAGTGATTGTTGGCTGATATCATCACTGTCTGTATTTGATCATCTGTAGTAGTCATTGTTGGCTGAAATCATCGCTGTCTGTATTTGATCATCTGTAGTAGTGATTGTTGACTGATATCACTGTCTGTATTTGATCATCTGTAGTAGTGATTGTTGGCTGAAATCATCGCTGTCTGTATTTGATCATCTGTAGTAGTGATTGTTGGCTGATATCATCACTGTCTGTATTTATTCATCTGTAATAGTGATTGTTGGTTGATATTGTCACTGTCTGTATTTGATCATCTGTGTCAGTGATTGATGGCTGATATCGTCACTGTCTGTATTTGATCATCTGTTTCAGTGATTGTTGGCTGATATCATCACTGTCTGTATTTGATCATTTGTAGTAGGGATTGTTGGCTGAAATCATCACTGTCTGTATTTGATCATCTGTGTCAGTGATAGTTGGCTGATATCGTCACTGTCTGTATTTGATCATCTGTTTCAGTGATTTAGGCTGATATCGTCACTGTCTCTATTTAATCATCTGTTTCAGTGATTATTGGCTATCGTCACTATCTGTATTTGATCATGTTTCAGTGATTGTTGGCTGATATCGTATTTGATCATTTGTTTCAGTGAGGTTTTGCAAAAAGAAGCTGTTGCCAAGGAGAAGAAGAGTAACCCGGCCAGTTTTGGTTACATGTGTGTCCATGAGTGTATGTGTGAGATTCCAGGCCAGGCCCCCTGCCCGGCCTACGTAGTGCCCCCCAAGGAGCAGCGAGGAAAGTTCAAATTTTTACATAAAGATGTTGAGGATTAGAATGTTGTCTGTTGTGTGTGGCTGCCTGGGTTTGGTCATGTCAGGTTTTTGACAGTGTCTGGTTGACTGAAGTTATTAATTGTATACTTGCATAGTGTCTTTTTTCAGGGTTGTAATATAACTGTCAGTTCAGTCTGTTGGGTGTGGCTGACTGGGTTTGTTCATGTCAAGTTTGTGACATTGCTTTACTGATGTTTGTTGTATTTAGCTGTCAGTTTGTCTGTTAATTAGTAGTGAAGTCAAGACTGCCCTGTCGTGACAGGAAACAAGGAGCAGTGTCGCAGAGAATGAGCAGGGCATTTGGTCATTTGTGAATGTAGACTTGTTAGTTTTACTTCTTGTTTGCATTGATATTTTGTTCATGACAGAATTAAAGACACAATTTTCTGAGAACACACACTGATCTCTAATGTCGAACTATTCCTGTCAGTTTTCTATGTGTTTTCTTGATTGAAGTCATTGAAATGTGGGTATATCTGTGTGTTTACTTGACTGAAGTCATTGAAATATGGGGATATCTGTGTTTACTTGACTGAAGTCATTGAAATGTGGGGATATCTGTGTGTTTACTTGACTTTACTTGTTGTGGCAGTCTTGGGTTCAGTTTCCATGAGATACCTTGCTGACTTGGATTCACTGACATTATGTGAGTGTAGTTGTGCCAAAAATGACGGAAAGTTACATAGACACTAGCATAGTACAGGACAGGGCTAGGGAAGACCGCAAGAACTGGTTTAAGATTTGTGAACCAAAGAAGTGCTAGTCACTTGTTGACTGTGCTGATGATGATGAACATGTAGGAGCTGTTGCTGAAGTCAACATTTTCTTTTGTAAGAAACCCACTGCCTTTCTTCCAGACTGTTGTCATCTGTCCAGATAGTGATGGTTGTAGGGAGATATGGGAGTCACAGTCCGGGGGGGGGGGGGGGGGGGGGAGAACTGCATTGTGAAACACTTTCACTCACCTCTAAATCACACAGTGTCTGTATGGGAAGCTGGAAACAGTCAGCCCAAACTCCCAACTAGGTGGTGTGGTTATCTAGTAGTGCCTGGCTGGCTTCAGGAAAACCAGACTGGATTTGATTTGATTCAAGAACCAACATCACAGCAGTCGGGGCATTCCCATGAGCGCTCCGTCCCCATCTTCAGCAGCCAGCGAAGAGTTCTGATACTAATGGTGCCAGTAGCATTCTGATTAAACGTCCCTCTTGCCTTTCCTCTGGGCCTCGAGCATTTACCAGAACCTCTCGTCACCCCCCCTGCATCAGTCTCACCAGACTGGTGATCCATCTGCTCGTCTGAACTGTACATGCTCTCCAACAAGGCACTAACCACGTTTGCCTTATTATGTATCATTATTCCACCAAGTTGTGCAGAGCCAGCCAGTCTGTCTGCCTGTTTATTTCCCAACACACCAGCCTGCCCCAGTGAAAAAACCAGACAAAACTCCTCACCCGTGTCCTCTGCAGCGAAGCATGTCACTCTGCACGAAGCATGCCTGTCCTGATCTTCCTCAGCATGCTTTCTGAGTTAGTTACAATCACAGTGTGTGTGTATGTCATGTTTTCTAACCAGCAGAAAGCTGCAGTGACCGCCTCCACCTCCATTCTTAAGCTGGATGTTGTGGCATCATAGGCTATGCTCTCCTGCACCAAACGTCTATCATTAACTTTTGCTAAGAAGCCCTAAGCACTTCTTTTGCCTCTTTACACTGAACCATCTGTGTAAATGATCAAATCCTCTGAGCGAGCATTATCTTGAATTAATTGCTGAATTTCCACCTCTGTGGCACCTGCTGGCAAGTCTCTGTATTTCCGGCTCAGTGTGATTATGATCCTACACAAGTCTGACTGTTCAGATGGCACTTTGACCCACTCCTCTCCTCACCCAATGTTCTCAAGGATGCAAACCTGTATGATTGTGTCTTCTGCCTGAGCCATCCATGACTTCCCTCTTATCAGCCGCTGACCCTTAACTGCACCCAGAGCTTCGTGCAAAAGATGGTCTGTGTCTGTAGCTACCCTTAGGTATGACTTCGCCTGCAGCACCTTGTGCCTTCCTGCAGACTGTGGATGGGCAAGGCAAGTGTTCTTTTTGATTATAGACATATTTTAAATATGTGGCAGTGGTCAGGCATGCGGCTGTGGGTCAGATGTCTACTGAACTAATGTGGCACATCAACATCCAGCCCAATATGCCATGAAATCACCTGCAGCTGAATCAGACCTGGTATGTCAGAGTTATGAAACTATGCTTATGACCACCTAAGCCACAGGTGCTGGGCAAAGAACAACACCAGTGTTGAAGCAGCCAGAAGAAACAATTGGCTCAAACACCTGTGTAAACAAATATGGATGAGCCTGGGCAGTACATTGTCTCAACATGCCACCATCTACGATGAGGTAAACACCAGGTTCTCCAAAGCCATCTGCACATGTGGCAGACTATACACCAATGTCTGCCATCACAGTGGTATCAGTCTGCAAACTCAACTGAAAGTATACAGAGCTGCAGTGCTTCCAGTGCTGCTGTATGCTTGTGTACTATGGACTGCATACAGACATCATGCAGCCAAGCTTAAACACTTCCATTCAGTCTGACTGAGGAAATCACTGAACATCAAGTGGCCACACAAGGTCCAAGATACTGTCATACTGGATAGAGTTGGCATTCTCATGACAACAGCATCGATGCAGTCTCAGATTGTTTAGACAGATCACCTCATCCACATGCCAGGTGACTGGCTGTCAAAGATATTTTATGGTGAGATGGAAAAGGTAGACACTTTCATGGTGGCCAGACAAAAACACTAAAAATGCTTCGGGGACACGCAAAAGTATCACTTGAATATAAACCCTGACACTTGGGGAGGCTGCTGCACAAGATCTACTTGTGAAAAAACAGGCAGCTGAACAGTGCAGGTGGGCTAGAAATACCTGTATAACAGACCCTTTACCTACAGACTCTGTTCTCTGCTCTCTTTGTCCTAGATCTCTCCGGGCCCATACTGGGGTTATAAGTCACCTGAGGTGCAGTCTTCTGAGGGGTCTCGAGGTATGGTGTTCGCCTCGAGTGCTGGAGGTCCCAGGTTCAAGCCCCAGTAAGGGATTGGTTTTCTTCATATGGACTTCTAGTAATGTTTATTGTTACCCACATAAAAAATCCTCTGGTATTTGGAAATAGAAAAAGTGCAACCTAACGGCGCTACCCAGGCTAAATTTGAAATTAAAAATCTACCAAAATTATTTCAGGATCCTCGCTGGTGCCGCAGAGTTCGTGCGCTGAGATTTCGGACTCAGACTTGAGTTAGAAGTAGAACAGGGCACTTATGGGTTACATGTGCCATGATGATGATTCGTTGAATAAACATAAAAATAAAGCGGTCTTCTGCCAAAGCCCTTCTAGCTTTGATTGAACCCGAAACTTTGGACTTATGAAGCACTTTCGCAGTCTGAGCCAAAGAGCCCAAATGTAGACAAACACATGTATAAACAAGCATTTATAAGGAGTTGATAAAAACAGACCAATTTGTAATGAGAAAATGTTTTAACACAGAACAAACAGGCACAAGTCACTTCCAAGCAGGCAGGAAATACAAGTCATTCAAACATTGTACACAGTAATCATTTCTTCTACAACTGGGGGGAAAGGGGGGAGACCAGCTATTGGAGATTATCGTGGGGGGGGGGGGGGGGGGAGGTCATAGTCTCTGATGTGAACTATCATAGCACAGGACCTAATCTGTCTAGCCATGTCTCTATGATCACTGATGTGAACTGCCATGGCACAGGAGCTATTCTATCTAGCTCTATGATCACTGATGTGAACTATCATGGCACGGGAGCTATTCTATCTAGCTCTATAATCACTGATGTGAACTGCCATGGCACAGGAGCTATTCTATCTAGCTCTATGATCACTGATGTGAACTATCATGGCACAGGAGCTATTCTATCTAGCTCTATGATCACTGATGTGAACTATCATGGCACAGGAGCTATTCTATCTAGCTCTATGATCACTGATGTGAACTATCATGGCACAGGACCTAATCTGTCTAGCCATGTCTCTATGGTCACTGATGTGAACTGTCATGGCATGGGACCTAATCTGTCTAGCCATGTCTCTATGGTCACTGATGTGAACTGTCATGGCACGGGACCTAATCTGTCTAGCCATGTCTCTATGGTCACTGATGTGAACTGTCATGGCACGGGACCTATTCTGCCTAGCCATGTCTCTATGGTCACTGATGTGAACTGTCATGGCATGGGACCTTTTCTGTCTAGCCATGTCTCTATGGTCACTGATGTGAATTGTCATGGCACGGGACCTATTCTGTCTAGCCATGTCTCTATGGTCACTGATGTGAACTGTCATGGCACGGGACCTTTCTGTCTAGCCATGTCTCTATGGTCACTGATGTGAATTGTCATGGTCTATTCTGTCTAGCCATGTCTCTATGGTCACTGATGTGAACTGTCATGGCACAGGAGCTATTCTATCTAGCCATGTCCCTATGATCACTGATGTGAACTGTCATGGCACAGGACCTATTCTGTCTAGCCATGTCTCTATGATCACTGATGTGAACTGTCATGGCACGGGACCTATTCTGTCTAGCCATGTCCCTATGGTCACTGATGTGAACTGTCATGGCACAGGACCTATTCTGTGTAGCCATGTCTCTATGGTCACTGATGTAAACTGTCATGGCACGGGACCTATTCTGTCTAGCCATGTCTCTATGGTCACTGATGTGAACTGTCATGGCACGGGACCTATTCTGTCTAGCCATGTCTCTATGGTCACTGATGTGAACTGTCATGGCACGGGACCTATTCTTTCTAGCCATGTCTCTATGGTCACTGATGTGAACTGTCATGGCACGGGACCTATTCTGTCTAGCCATGTCTCTATGGTCACTGATGTGAACTGTCATGGCACGGGACCTTTTCTGTCTAGCCATGTCTCTATGGTCACTGATGTGAATTGTCATG